GGGTGCTGATTCAGTCTACAGTACTTCTTCAGCAAATTGTTTGAGCCAAATGGCTTCTTAAGTAGTATACACTAGTGCTTGCAACTCTGCTTCATAAACAGATAGTGGTACCAGGTTTTGCTGTTTGCTTGACCAGGATATGGTTGATTTAGCTAATTGAAAGATGTAGCTGTTTATTGCTTTATGTCCTTCTATCATTTGTCTGTCTGTATCACAATAGCCTCATAGTTTTAAGGCATTTGTGCTTCCAAGTTGAAACCAGCAATTTGTTGTATATTTTAAATATGTAAAGTAATGTTTCACTACTTTATAGTAATACATTTAGGGCTTTTGTAAGTAGTGTGCTAATTGCCCAGTAATATAAGATATGTCTGGCTGTGTGCAATCTGCAACATATCTTAACAATCCTACCATATTCATGTATAGTATTGTTTCATTATTACTTTTGTTTGTATTGTATGTATTGTTTGTATTGTTAGATAGATCTATTCTAGGAGTAATAGGTGTTTGTAGTGCCTTTTTGTTTTCAAAGTGGTAACACTTGATTATACTTTCAATATAATACTTTTACTGTAAGCTAATTGTTTGTTGAGGTCTATCTTGGCTTATTTTAATACTAAGTAACCAATGTATTTTGTTACTGTCAGTAAATGTAATGTGTTGTCTTAATGCATGTTTGAATGCCATTATTATAGTAATAGTTTTGCCAATAATCATAATATTGTCAATGTGCATAAATGTTACAAGAATTGTTTTATTATTTTGTTTCTTATAAAATACAGTGTGATTGTAATTAGCTCATTCTAATCCAATCTTAAGTAGTAGTTCAGTAATCTTTTTATACTATTGTCTACCTACTTGTTTCAATCTGTATAATACTTTATTTAAGTGTAACACCTGTCCAGGTTTAATATCTGTAAGTAGCCTGCCTAGCAGTAGTTTCATATAAATGAGTTTGTCCTTATTTAGTTCTCTGTAAAGATATACAGATTTTACATCTATCTAATGTATTTTGTAGTTCTTAGATACTGTCTAAGATAACAATAATTGTACTGTTGATAGTTTTGTTACTAGAGCAAATAAGTTGTCAGAATAGAAGTCTATTCCATTCTTTTGAGTATATCCTTGTACTACAAATTGTACTTTGTATTTGTCTATTTGGCTGTTAACCAGTCTTTTGATTTTATAGACAAATTTTGTTCCAATTATATTTGTATTTGTAGGGGGGATAGTATATATCCATGTGTTTCATTGTTAAAGTAACTGTATTTCATCCTTCATAGCTTTGATCTACTGTTCTTTGTCTATGTGTGTTATAGTATTGTAATACATTAATAGATTGTTATAGATTTCATTAAGGAATTTGTTAAATTCTGTTAGATACATAACTAGGTTTATATTGTCTTTGTAATTTAAACCTATAGTTTGTTTAACCAGTCTTCACTCTTGTGTAGAGTATTGTATGACAGGTTCTTTATCTTTATTATTGTCATTAAGAAGAGTTTTATCATTGTTTGATGTATCACTATTATAATTATTCTCCCCTTCAATCCTAGACATTAGCTTGTCTATGAATTGTATGTTGTGTTTGACAGTAACTTTATTATTATAGCACACTAAGTGACCTTTACTATTAGTATCATAACCTAACCATTGT